CTTTCCCTTGAATTGCTTGTCTTCTCTTCCTCACTTCAGTTCTTGGCATCTTAATTCTCATCCTGAACATATTGCACCGACCTGGCCCGAAAGAAAGGCACTAATAAGCCTGAGAAGGACTGAAAGGAACAGCTAGAAAGCCTGTACTGGAGAAGCATTCTGAAACACCCATTTCAGCATTTAGGGCGTAGCAGAAGGATAATGAGTATAACAACCTGCGGATTTTAGACAGCAATGACCAAGACTCTCAGCTAAGTGTTAGCCTGGAATTACTTGTTAGGACGTTTAGAGATTATTGTCCCGTTACTCTCTTTTACAAAACATGCGGATTGTGGCAGGACACTCTAGAAAGACAGCACCAGCCACCACAGACCTCACTCACAAACATGAGACATAGAGAAACCTCTGCTACATGAATCTGCCCTGTGACTCCAAGGTTTTGAAAACTGTGGCTGTTTTCTTTGAAAAATACTTTAAATAATATTCAGGGAACACAATAAAAAATATAAGCACGTTTTGTACACAGCAAACCCACAGGAGTCTGTCCTAATGTGAGTGTTACCTGCACATTCTGGGTTGTCTTCATTGAAATTGATTGCAAAATCATGAGAGACCTGCAGATAAATGGGAAGAAGTCTGTAGTCAGAAAAATTATTCCAAGAGGCCTTGTGGTTAAATGTCCTCTACATGCTTTCTCAGTTAAACAAGAGATGTTTCCAGCTTTCAGCCATCAAATGTGAAGTGCAGTCCCGACTAGAACTGTTGGATATTGCTGTTTTATTTGTCAGTGCAGACAGCTTCACAGCACAGTACGGAAATTGGCCTATGACTAATAGACCCATAGATCAAATACGTGATTACAGAGAAGCTTTTATGAAAGCAAAGTGCCCAAAGTTGGCTAATTACTGCCAACAAGAGTTCCACAGAGAGAAACTGCATCTCTCCATCATATGCTGGTCTTGCTCATGCAGTGACACCTACTGTTCCTTATCAAGAGGTTAAATAAAGCAGGACTTTACCATATTGAGAAAGGGCTGAAGCAAAAATTCCCTGAGGGGAGAATTTCCTAATTCATATGAATTTTTGAGATTTCTTCAAAACAAAACAAAACCTTCTGGATTCACATAGAATCCTCAAAACAGAAGCAAAAACCCTACCTTGGAATCTGATGAATAACCACCTGCTCCCTTGAATCATAAAGCAAATTGCTGGAAAGTTTTGGACTACGCAAGAACATTATATTTAAGTTGCACCAAAACATGTTATTCTCTTTTGTCCTCCACAGTTTATAAAACCCTTTTGCTCTAAGTGAACTTCATTTTTTTTAAAATAAAAAGCTGCTTTGACTCAGAAACCACATTTTTCATTCATTTTGCAAATACTGAATACGGATTCCTGAATTCTGAAAATTGGAAATCTTTTTTCCCCTCTCTGAATTGTTCAATTCATTTAAATTAACCTCCCTGTCCCAAATAGCTTCAGCTTTCCGGAAGCTTCTATGGCAATGGTACTAGGATCACTTGACAAACAATCTGACGAATGTAGGCATGTTTAGGAATGCTTTCTTATTAATTTAAATAGAGACTGTCAAAAATCGATGAACAATAGATGCATACAAGCGTAAATGCTGAGATGCATAATGTTGAGAACTTATCTGTGAATAAACTGAACGCTATTAAGCCATTGCCAGTCTGAAAATTAAATATGGAATGCCTGCATATTTTGCAAAAAGCATAAGACACCAACAAATTTAAAGAACCGTTGCTCAAAAGCTATTATTTTCAGAATGCTCATTAATCAAATGGCTTGAGAGCTGGACAGCTTGTGTGTCTGGCTAAGACCACATTGTAGACGTTTCTGCTTGGCAAATCCTGGCCGTTTATTTTCCTCTGTACTTGATTTTGGAGCCTACTGCCCATTTTCTACATCTAAATCCAAGCAGCATGGATAAGGTGACAACTTCTGTTTCTTTCCTTGTCCGTTACACATTCTCCTATTGGTTCTTTTTGTCTGATTTGACTAGATTTTTGCCTTCGAGCTCCTGAAAAGTGCAGAACTCAGGAAGACAACAGCACCTTTCAACAGCACCTGCCTTACCTCCAGCACACCAGGCGGTGCGGGTCACAGTTGTGAAGATGCTGAATTGGTTCTGTAACCACAGTGAGGTTCTCTCCAGAAGCTCTTCCCAGCACAAGCAGGGAACCAAGCTTTCATTAAACAGGCAGAAAATAACCAAAGATGTCTTAAAACAACCTGTGAGCTGTTTCGTACCTATTCAGGTGTCAGCCTGTGACTCTACTTTAGGGAAGAACTCTTCTTTACTGCTAATACATCTGTCATGAGGCTGACACATTTCTAACTTTCTTTTCATTCTAATAGCAAGTTTTGTGCTGTTGTGTGGTTTTTCAGCTCCTTTGAGCTCTGCCTGCTAAGAAATTAGTGTGTATAGTTCAGTTAGTGTGTGTGGTTCAGCTTTCCTCCTCTTCACTGTGACCTTTCACAGCTGTGCCTGAGTCTATATTATCTGTTACTTCTTCACTTTACATCAGAATGCTCAGATACTTCCTTTCATTAGGAAAAAAAAAGTGATGGGTTGGAGACATTGCTGTGGAATAACCAGTGTGTTCTGCAAGTTTTCTGTGATGGAAACTCAAGAGCGGAATAGTGCTCTCTGAGGTTTACTTAGATCAAGGAGCAGGCAGTTGTCAGACCTCGGGGAAAAAAGATCGTATTGCTGAATATTAGATGAAAGCTCTCTGACTGATGAGGAATGTTATATATGGCATGTCTTGCTTCCTTCACTCCCACAGATTCCTTATGCCACTAAGAAACTGCTGTTTTTCTGCTAACGGCTGAAGTATTTCATTTGGAGCTGAAATGAGGAAAAATAAACTCAGTGTAACATAGCAGGCTGCTCTTGAAATGGAAATTCTGTAGAAAGCTTCTACAAAACCATGTTTTTAAAGGGTTCAACCTCAAGAGATTCCTGAAGAGCCTGCAGAGGTGCATGCTGACATTGTTCTGAAGTGCTAATGTAGAAAGGGGGCGGTGGTATTTTTCCATGCGGAATAACAGTCGGCATAGCAAAACACTGCTTTTCTTGGAGCGTGTGGAGGACGTGAGGAGGTTAGACTCTCACGGAGTGGACGGGTGGACCCTGCCCTCCAGCACTCGTACCACGCTACTGACAGGACCTCAAGAAGTGAAACCAAGGCAGGAGGTTGACAACACTGCAAACAGACCCCTCCTGTTTGACAATACCAGAAGAAAAATGTAGAGCTCATGGCCAGAAGTGGCTTTCAGCTGATCCTAGATGTTGCACAGAAGGGCTAATCCTCTTGCAGCATGGTCCTTCTCTTCTTTGAAGTTTTATTATGTTGGTAAGATGATTATCGTGACATTTTGTCTCTTATTTTCTGTCACAGTTTTCCATAGTGGAGGTGAGAGTTGTTGTTCTGGCCTTCACTTGCATCTCTGTCTTTGGAACTTGTTTTGTTCATACCATAAAGTATTTTGGGTTTAACACAACTATTTTAAGCCTAGCCTTGATTCCTGGTTTCAGTGAGGTGTCACTGGGTGAGAAAGCCAGAAAAAAAACCCAACTCAAGTGGTAGGAGCTGCTCACCCTAGCCTCTGCCCTGCCCTGAACCATTTCTCCCTTAGCTTGTGCCTCATAAACAAAGGAAAACAGAACATTTCATTTAATCAGTTACCTTGTATTCTGGGGGTATCCTTGCTCCAAATCCAAAGGCTGGGAACATTTTGTCACTGGAAAAGAGTAAAAAAAAAAAAGAGTTTCCATAGAGAAATGCATTTTGTTACAGTAAAAATGTATTCTTCTCTAAGCATTCATCAAAAGTGCAAAGCAGCACAACAGTATAAAATGGCTTTTAGGTCAAGACTGTTACACCATAGAGTGAAGGGTATGGGATTAGCAGGATTTTTCAGGTGAATCTCTGGTGTTTTGAGGAAGTTAAAATCATTTCGAGAATGCTGAAGGATCAAGGTATCTTGCACTTCTCCCAGCATTGCAGTAACAAGTCTGTATTACCCACTCTTTTGCACTACCTGGCTGCAGCATATAGGTGAGTTGTCTGAAGAGCCTGTAACAGCATTTATTTCATATAAATACGGACGTGCTCCCCCAGCTCAGAAAACATGTGCAGAGAAGAAATGACCCTGTAATTAAAAGTGTTTGCAAATTTGGGTTCTTGCAGTTGCCTGGGTGCAAAAGAGACTTCCTAAAATACTGAAAAGGGGCAGTTTTACGCCCCTAGACCTACAGGTTCTGTAAAGCTTTCCACCTGCATCTTCAGCAGCTCCACTAAAATGTGAGATTATTTTAATTAGGCATGGGTTGGCCGATAACCTAGCAAATGCTGTGGCATGGCCCGTTTGCTTTTAAACACTGCAGTGAGGTTGTTCTACCCCAGTTAGATCCATAGACAGAAATTCTCAATTCAGAGAACCTGGAAACTTCAAGACTGTTAATATCCTTTCAGAAACACAACGATGTCTCACACGGCCCCCATTGCTGTCAAGCTGCCTCTTCCCAGATGGCAAAGTGGAAAACAACAAGCTGTAAGGAATGGCTGTCCCTGAGCCAGCAAAGAACTCGATCACACACTTGAGGTTAACGATTCACCCAAACATATGCCCAACTCTAAACACATCCTGAAGTCGCTGAACCGTGCTCCAGGGCTTGGATGAATCAATCCCCTCTGAGGTTTATCTTGTTCCTCTCACAGGGTTTCAGGGCCCTTGGACAAGTCAAGTTCCTATAGGCACTACCATTACTGGCACTATCAAAAATTCCCAAGGGAGGCAAGCAGCTTCGATTTTCTTTGTGTGGTACAGGACGTTGCCACTCCAAGTATCATCTGAATAATTTGCTTCCTAGACAGACGCAAAAAAGATAATGGCACCCATTAAAGCTGCTGGGATATTCTGTCTGGCACAGGCTGTGAAAGGCACCATGATATCTCTGATACAAGCTAAAAAAAAAAAAAAGGGAGAATTTAGAAGAAAGCAGAAATAATAATTACCATCCCATCCCCACCTCTCGCCCCTGAAGTCATTGTACCCATGAGATACAGAAATATTCAAGGGCTCATTGGGAAGCAGTGATGACTGTCATCTCATGGTTTAGCTCTCACAACTGCTGTTCTGCTACAAAATGTAGTTGCCGCATAAATCTTGGGAGCATAGTTCCCTGCACCATATGTTACACTGTGTGACAATGGCTCTTGGAAAGGAAGACCAGCATCATTTGCATGGTAATGAAACATTTTTTTTCCAGGAGATGTCAGCACCAAAGTAGTTGCTGACATTTGATGCTAACCACCTGCTGAGGACCTTCTCTTTGATTAAAGCTCCTGGAAGCGGGGAAGCCCTTATAAATAGATGCAGAGAATTCAGGCACACACATAGAGGGCAAGAAATAAGAATCCATTAGAAAAGAATCCAAGGGGAGAAAAAAACCGTGTTTTACATCAATGATTAAGCATGCTGGATTAGAAAATCAAACCCTGTGGAGCTGAAACTTAATTGATTTTGGAGCAAGAGCAAACAAAGACCAAAAGAGAATTTTACTTTAGGTAGACCCTAAGTGTCTAAGTTCAATAAAGCAATCCAAAAAGCTGATGTTGGCAGCAATTACCTTACCTGGGAGATGCCTAAACCCATATGGTGCCTGCATTTGCACTGCAGTGTTTCTGAACAAGTGTAGGCACTCTTGTGCCTGCAGCTCCATCTTTTGCTCTGCAGCAATGCCAACGTACATACCTCTGGTATTCTGATTTAAGCTTCTGGGACCAAGGAATTAAGCTCTCGGAGCTTGATCTTTAAGGCAAGAAGGAAACCTTTTGATTATCACTCATGACAACCCTTGCAAAAAATAGACAAGCATGTTATTCCCTGAGCAAACCTCAAAATCTTTGGCTGATGGCTTTCAGAACAAAATAAAATTTTAATGTAAGCAATAATTTTCCCCCTATCACATGAAACAAGGCCCAAAGGGCAGCCAAGGACATGCTTCCCGGGCCATCCCTTGTGGCATGGAGCTGTGACAGAGCCACTTGCCCAGCCCCAGGGCTGCCATGGCTGCCTGCAGCAGAAAGCAGAGCAGCTTCCCAGCTTCTGGAGGCTGTGCCACGGGTCAGTCCATCCAGGGAGTCCAGGGACTGCAACTAGGGTCACAAAATGAAGAGAAGGTTTCCTCCTGCCTCAGGGGTGAACTGCACACACGAGAGACCCCTGTTCTGCTTCCTAAGCTGGCATTTCACCAGGAAAAAGATCTGCTCCAATGATGTTTCTGCCTTTGTAATTCAAACTCACCGAAAAGAAGAAAAGCAAGGACCAGTTCTGTGTTGTTTTTTTTTTTCCTTCCCCCCGCCTTCCCCCCTTGTGTTGCTTGCTCAGGCATTTGGGCTTCATTTGTATGAGGACACATGCCTGGGAGCCCAGCTGAAGTGCTGGGCATGGCTACAAACATGTTCTGTCAGAATCATAAAATCATTCAGATTGGAAAAGACCTCTAAGATCATCTAGTCCAACCATCAACCTAACACTACTGTGACCACCGTCTGCCAGCCCAGACCTTCCTGGGACCGTGCCCCTTGGGACTGCTCCCAAACAGCAGCCTGGGCATTCTGAGGTTGTGCTGGGAAGAAGAAAGCTGAGATACAGGGGCACGGGCAACATCAACGCCCTGGCCTCAGGCCACATCAGCATCTTCACTTGTTTAAACCTAGCCAGAGAGTCCTCAGCACACCAAGCAAACTGCCTGCACGGTCCTGCTGGAGACAGATTGGAGAGGGACAGGAAAGAAACAGAAGTGGAAAAACAAGTCAGCTCTAGAAAAGCTCAGATTTACAAAATCAAGTAAGAAGAAGAGGAACACGGCTTGGCAGAATCTTTACAAAATGACGCTATCACATCTACTATCTACTTCATGTTCTAATCAATTCTTTATTTCAGAGGTTCCCTTGAAAATTAAAACTCGGTATAATTTTCAAAAAGCTGAAGTATTTGACATGAAGATCAAAAAACTAAAAGCATCAGACTTTGACTTTTATACCTGGTTATATAAGGGCCACAAATAGTCATGCAAACATAGATGTATATGGCTTCTGGTACTTTTTCCAGTCAAACATGCATATATTACTAAACGATACCAAAAAAAAAAGAGCAAGTCTAGGTCATACCCTAAAGTTAAAATCAAGGAAGGGATTCAGGTTTAGTGTTCATACTGGTAAATGTAAATGAACACACAGAGAAAGGAACAGTCAGTGCTCCATCACTGTAGTCTTCTGGACAGAAATGCAACCAGTTGAAGTCCCTCAGTAACCTCAACTATAACATAATGCATATAGCAGAAAGTAAATTCTGAAAAGATGCCAGATTTTCTTTTAGGAACATTGCTCAGTTTTAGTCACCCATCCTTCAAGCTATCTATAAACCAATACAGCAAGTGGGGCAGAAAGGAGAGAGCTTTTGGGGACCTGCACCACACTGATAGGAAAAGAGAGGGAGAGAGCAAACAGGTTTTGTAAATTAGTAACACTGATACAGATAATGATACCTTCTCCTGTTTTGCTAGGAAGTCCAGTGTTACTGGAAGGTAAGAAATATGCTTAATAAAGATAAGGAGATATGACTTCAAAACTCTGTCTCATTAGCCACTGGTGCCCTCTGACACGTTGAAACCTGAAGTTCAGCTTTATTCCGAAAAGGATTTGCTATTCCTAGTAAAGAGGAGGAGAATTCAGATAAAACTCCTCCACTGGGTGAAATTAATTAGTCAGACATTATTCTTTTGCAACATCCTCTAGAGCTGCTGGCACAGGTGATGCTGGAGATAGAACCAGATATTCACCCACGTGGCAATACCTGTACTCAGAAAGGAAAATGAGAGCTGCCAGGACTATGTTCTTCAAATCAGAATTACCAGGTACATTAATTTTAAAGTACTGTGCTGGATGCAGCAAAGTCAATTACTACACCTTCCTTTTTCAATTCCAATCCTGAAAGAATAAGTTGTGGATCTGCTCTGCTCAACATACTTTTCACACGATGAAATCAGGTATTTTTCCTCTCAGAAAAAAATCTCAAATCACCAAAATAAAAGGAAAAGGGAAGAGGGAGAGAAGAGAGACAAAAGGGGAAAGGAAAAGGAGAAGACAGCAAATGCCACAAACAAAATAGAGTCATCTTTAAACTCAATTAAAATTGTAATCTTTCATGTTCAGAGAGCGAACTGGAAGAATATGAGCTGAATTAAGTGTTTCTTTTCTAAAACATATGAATGAATCATGTTCCTGAGTGCATTATTTAGTACTTATCTGAGAAGGGCTTGATGCCAGTAAATTCTGAATCACAACAGCTTACAGGGATTAGCAGCGGCTCCAAAGAAAATACAGAAATCATTTGAAATATTTAAATGTTTTCAGTTCCTGCTTTGCAAGCAGAGCTAAGCAAATAAAGGACACGATCTGTATGCTGGAGCAGGGGTAAATAAAGCCCCCGAGGTGGAACAGACTAGAGCCCACTCGCCCTGGTCACTGAAGAGGATCACATGAAGGGTACATTGCTGTTGAGCCTGGCACAGAGGTGCTACACAATTATGTGTAAAATCCCGATATTAGAATTCACTCATTGTCTTTAATTGCAACTCTTAGTCACCTTAGGGGAGCTGGAATAAGCTGAATACCAAGAAATAGATACTGTCATGTAATTGAGTTTCAAAAGTATGAGGGAATGCCTGTCCC